GATAATTCGGACCCTTCTATTAACACACAATTGAAGACATCGTTCAAAAATTGGAGATTGAAAAAAAGCCTTAATAAAAGCGTACAGATAAATTTCCTAATGAGCACAAATGGACCGCTTTACACACTAATGACTTCGTGCGTTATATTGGACATTTGATTGACAAACGACTGATGTAGTATCCCCATCCGAAAGGACAAAAACAAACCGACCTTTTAAATTACTTAAAAAACAGTTTGACTCATGACCCAAACCAAAAATTAAAACAATCTTTCCATTTAAAAGACAGGACGTACGGTTGCAAAGGGGTCGGGATAAACCAAGGATTCCAATTAGCAACGTCTCGAATTTATTCAGTTAGAAATTTTCCATCAAATGCTACTGTTTTTGTTTCAAATTTTACTTTTCACAACGACACTTCACATAGTTTGAACATGACATGATTAAAACGCTCAAAAATCGTACTAATCATTTTTTTTAAGAAGAACAAAAATAATTTATTCTGGGACTGGTGTCCCCTAAGAATAATTTACATGAAATAAATAAAGGAAGTTCCTTCTATGAAGTTAAAAGTAAAAAAAAAAAGATAGAAATCTTGGCACAATGTATACCAGTAAGGCAGGACAGAAGAAAAAATTAAGAGAATATTAAACAAAAATAACAAATGTTAACGTGAGGTCTCTGCTTGGAGGGAGAGGAGTTGATTATACAGGTGGGATTTAAAGGAGGAAAAGGAGGCAGCGTGACGAATAGAAAGGGGGAGTTCCAGAGTTTAGGGGCTCGGATCAGAAAGGATCTTTCGAAGGTATGGGTTGTATGTTGCGGAAGGATAAGGTCGATTGGGGATGAGCGGGTCTTACGAGTGAGATGTGAGGAGTTGAATTGGAGGGATTGGATGATGTAAGGAGGACGACGAGTGTGGATGGACTGGAAAAGAAAGCAACCTAGGAAATACTGTGCACGGAAGCAGGGAAATAGCCAGGAAAGTTGGGAATATAACCCCGACACCCGGGATCCCCGTGGGGTGCCGTACACAAATCTTACGCAACAATACATAATACGATTCAATCGCGCGTTCTCCCCCTCCAAGAGACCACCGTATGCCAAACAGCTATAATCGAAGAAGGGAAGTATAAGGGAAGATACAAGGAATTTGCGGGTGGAGAAAGGTCAGGAAAGGTTTTGGTCAAAGACTACTCCTAGGTTTTTAACCGAAGAGCAGAAGGGGATGGGATGGTTATTTAGCATGATAGGTGGGATGCTGGGGAGGGAATTGAGAAGTTGCCTGGACCCGATAATTATGGCGGTGGATTTGGACGGATTGAGGACTAGGGAATTTTTATGGGCCCATTCGTTGATGGAGTTTAGGTCTTTTTGGATCTTGAGAGTGGCCGAGTAAAGATCGGAAGGGTGGAAGGATATGTATATTTGCGAGTCATAGGCATATAGGTGATGGTTACAGGACTGGATGGAGTCGGGCAGATCATTGATATAAATGGAAAAAAGGATAGGAGAGATGCTAGAGCCTTGGGGCACCACAGATTTTAGAGGGAGGAAGGAGGAGGTAAGGCCATTGGGAAGGGAGACAGCTTGGTGGCGATTGGTAAGGTAGGAGTGGAACCAACGGATGGTGCTGGCGGAGAAGGCAAAAGAGTAACTTTCCGTTGGTACATTGCTAAGTGGAGGTCACTGGTAATTTTTATTAGTGCTGATTGGGTGGAATAACCTTGGCGGAAGCCAGATTGGAGGGGGTTGAGAAGATGGGACTGTTCAAGGTGCCTGGAGACTTGTGCTTGGACTAATCTTTCTAGGGGCTTGGACAGGTTTGAGAGGATGGAAATGGGACGGTAGTCTGTAGGGCAGGGTTGGGGGTTTTATTGACAGGGCTGACAAGAGCTTTTTGCCACGCTATCGGAAAAACAGAGTTTTGGAGTGAGTAGTTATAGATGTGAAGTAGAACAGGTAGTAATATTGGGAGGCAGAGTTTAAGAAAATGGATAGGGATGCCATCAACTCCAATGGCATTGGAGTGGGATTTGGTATAAATTAATTAATCATTTAACATAATTTCCTACCACAAAAGTTATAACGTCCAGCACTATCAGAAAAATTATATTACAATAATTAGTAATTTCATTGATACACAAAAACCTTTTAGGTACACCTACCCTTAGCTGTTTCAGCTTTCACAGATATTATCAAACTACGAGGGTCTCTTGCAGCTTTCATACGTAAAGAATTGTCAGTGGATTGTGTTGTTTAATTGAAATACAGTCGATATTGGAGACATAATAGAACTGTACCCTTGCGCAATACCTTCGACTTCCGGGTTATATATCACGGTTAATAGGTATATTAATGTATTAAGCATAAATAAGATTAATAGAAATTCCGTTTTGCTTTTAACAACCATGATTGAGACGCGGCAATGAACGGACTTAATAGTATTCACAGAGCATGAGAAACTTCAAAAAGCATCGATCACTTTTTGATTGTATCAAAATGTTGCAATCCTCTGTATGTTACAGGAAGCCGACAAGGACAGACAATAATAATTAAATCGAATATATAGTACAAAAATAACGGTATATTTTTAAAAAAATCAGATCAATTCAAAAAGTTGTATTTCATCTACCTCGTCGAATCCAAATCCTGCATGATGACAATGTGACAAATTTTAATCCGACTAAACAAAATTAAAGGTGGACTAAATTGAATACGTTATTTACGATGTCAACAAAATCACAAAACCGTCACATCGCAAGATGTCTAAAGTTATTCGCTCAGTGAAAATTAATGAGTAAACTTGGATGGGCAAGAATTGTAAAATATTGAAGACTATATTTAGATTCGTAGTTAAACTTCACTCATCATATAAATTTGAAATGACAGTTCGAAAAGTTTAATGACCATAGTTAATAAACAATCTCAAACAAATTTACTAATAAAATAATTATTTTAACTCTTATCTAATTATACATTTAACGATTTTTAACCTATTTTTAAAACTGTGTTAGAAACAATATCAATATTTGTAAAATATTGCCGACCTTTTTTTATAATACATTTTAGTCTATCATTAACATGTGTTATTAATTTGTGCGTGATATGTGGTTTCTTCATCCGGTAATAACACTGGAACTATATTTAAATTTGTGTCCCTAAACGACGAAGTCTCGTGTGTTAAAATGTACACAGTTCGGCTAAGATTAGGAGGATGGTGTGGAACTCATGGAAACTGAATAGGACTGCTGACAATAGAATGGTTGAGGTTGCTTTGGGTAGTGAGGTTAGTGACGTAGAAAGGAGCTTAGACGATTTTTATGAAGAGTTTAATTGGAAGTGTGTGGTGATTAGTGACCGTTAGTCGATAATTATTCCGAAATCGTGAGATGCGTCTGCTGTGTGATGTAGGTTTCAGAAAAACATTTTCTTTATCGTGCCAACGTTTCGTTCTTTACTGAGATCATCTTCAGAGCTCAAAATATTTGTTTTCCGTGTAGATGTGTCATTCTTGTCTGTCGTGTTGAGAGTGCCTTCTTTTATGTTCTTTGTTTTTCTCGTTTAGAAATGTGTGGTGATTAGTGACCATTAGTCGATGATTATTCTGAAATCGTAAGATGCGGTCTGGTGTGATGTAGGAAAGAAAACGTAGGATGTGGAAAAAAGTGAATTTATACATCGCAAAAAAATATTTTTTATATTCAATCAAAGTATTTCTACTCACTGTGTATTACGCAGAAAACAAACACTTTGAGTGAGTACAAGTACTTTTATTGAATATAAAAATTTTTTTTGCATTGTATAAATTCACTTTTTTCGACATCCTAAATGTTTTTGTTAAATTTAAACAATGTTAGTAAATCCCGTCCCTGAAGAAGATCTCAATAAAGATCGAAACGTTGGCACGATGAAGAAAATATTTTTCTGAAACCTACATCACACCAGACCACATCTCACGATTTCCGAATAATCATCGACTAACGGTCACTAATCACCACACAAATTTATTTTATGTTTATATATTGTTAGTTTATAGTTTGTGCCTACTCGATATTTTTAATTATCGATTTCTCGTTTTTTGCATTTTTTAATCATTGAGTAAACCTTATTTTTATTGAGGATAGGTTGATAACTCGTTAGAAATGAAGTAGATCAATTTAAAACATGGAACTTGAGACTGATTAGCCTTTATTTCAGCATTGAGTATTAATTTTAGTTTTTTTTTTTCAAATTAAAAAAAAAATGTATCCTGTTTTGTATGTCTATTATATTTTACACTACGTCCTTTTTTAAATTTAATTTAAACAGAAAATAACACGTCAACCGACTCAGCCTCTGCGAAGTGTTTTTTATTCACTAAAAATTTTCGATGTATTATTATTGTTCAGGATTAATGCTTTCTATGGCTGTTTATTTTTGACTTTTATTAAAAAAATTATTTCTTTTCAATCATACACCATAAGGGGTAGAAGAATGAAACCAGTTTAAATGTTTTCACGGAGTTTGTTTAAACACATGTCAAATTTACTGAAAAATTAATTAATATTTATGAAAGGTATTGGTCGAGATAAAAAAGTCAGTGTCACGAGCGGGATTCGAACCCACGATCTTCGGCTAAATATGCCGCTGCTCTACCACTTGAGCTACCGAGGGAAAATTCAAAAGGTGGGGTTGAGATGGGAAGTTAGTGTCCGAGTGGATCGAAGTCACGATAGCTCAAGTGGTAGAGAAGCGGGGTACCTAGCCGAAAGTCGTGGGTTCGAATCCCGTTCGTGACACTGACTTTTTTATCTCGACCAATACCTTTCATAAATATTAATTAATTGAAAAATGTTAATTGGTCAATCGGACCATGAACTGTAATGGATTTAATAATTAAACTGAATTATATCTTCATGAAAGCTCTCGCCATTTCATTTTTCGCCGGGAATCAAATAGATTACACGGCATTTAAAAAATGGCAAAAAGGAGGGAAAATTCAAAAAGGTATGCTTGCGATGGGAGGTTAGTATCCGAGTGGATCGAAGTCACGATAGCTCAAGTGGTAGAGTAGCGGCGTATCTAGCGGAAGGTCGTGGGTTCGAATCCCGTTCTTGACATTGACTTTTTTATCTCGAACAATACCTTTCATAAATATTAATTAATTGAAAAATGTTAATTGGTCAATCGGACCACGAACTGTAATGAATTTACTGAAAAATTTGGTAGTCGTGGGCTATTCAGTATAATCACAAATTTATCGCAAACAAAGAGCCGAAAGGGTCTGTACTGAAACACACTGTTATTGTACATATTGGGCTACTATAGCTAAAGCAAAAAACCGGACAAAAAGCTGGTAAAGATAGTGTATTAATAAAATACATATCGTCTATTTGAATCGCGCCAATTAAAAGGAAATTAATAAAACAATTTTTGTCAAAGGTTTTTTTTTAATTCTGCTGGTAGTAATATAAGGGTAGAAGTGAAAAAAGTTAAGCTCTCACATGTGCCGTAGCGGCCGAGATCAAGTTGGAAGCCTAATGGGCTGAAGAAACCGCCCTCAGAACAACACAGATTAAGCTTTGATTGGGATTTTATTGAGAAGAGGCTCGCCACAGGATGATCCACGATGGCAAAAAGTTCAACACGGCTTTTCCCGATAGGTTTAAATCCGGTTGTACTTGTTTTCTTTCGTCAAGACTCAGGAAAATTTCACGAATAAAAGACGGTTCGTTCTATTTAATATATTTACGTTGCCTTAAGATTTCACAGAATTTAAAATTAAAATATATATTTAGAAGTTTTCCTTCAGGAAAAACTGACTAATAAGTCATGCTTAAATGGTTTATTTTTTAACTTAAACCTATATTTATTTATTTAATAGAATTAAATTCACTAATTTCGTGGTCCGCATGATCAATTAATACTTTACAATTAATTAAGGTTTTTAGTTGAGATGAAAAAAAGCTAATGGCACGAGAAGGATTCGAACCCACGACCTTCGGCTAGATACGCCGCTGCTCTCCCACCTGAGCTATCGTGATTTTGATGTCCGAGTGGGTTCGAATCCCTCTCGTGCCATTAGCTTTTTTTCATCTCAACTAAAAACCTTAATTAATTGTAATTTAATAGAATGTTGTCCAATCGAGTGTGAGTTGTTTGAAAGGCCTAGAACAGCAGCCATTAGGCTTATCGTGGCTATTCTTAAATTGCCGTTTCTAGATAGTCCTTCATTAAGATCTAAGAGGACTTCTACTAAAAGGAGACTACTGGCTGAAACACTAAGGAATTCGGTTAGGATTTTGTTTAAAAGCATCTCACCCTTTCATCTAGTTGTGAGTTAGCAGTTGATGATAATGTCTGCTGCGGTTTCACATAGATTGGTTTCTGTACCACGGCCTTGTTTTTTTATTGTTTTTTAACCTTGTCTTCTCAGCCACACATTATTCACAGGCTGGTTCTGAAACTATTACTTCAATAGGTCTGGTTTGAGAACTTATTTAATGTGACTTTGTTGTGCGCTAAAACTGGATCCTAGAAACAGAGAGATATAATTTTTCGGTTTAAGGCTTCCTGTTTAGTATTCGACAAGGTCTTTCATTTTTGAAAGCACATTTTTTAAAATATATATTCTGTTACATTTTTATAATCACAGAAAAAAAAATTTACGTCATATTTATAAGCTTTAGCCTAAGAGTAATACTTGTATATAGGAAAATATTCATGTTAATAAAATAAAATTAAAAAATATGTACATATACAAATTTAAACAAGATAGTTTTAAGTGTACGCAAAAACAAACATGTAAGTGACAGTTTTAAAAGAATAAAATAAATGGCTGGAAAGTGATAGGTTGAATTAGAGGATAAAATGGTAAAATTGTGCAGACGAACGTAAAGAGCAGTATAAAAATGTGACATATCTTGAGAAAAATGACTAGAGTAAAAAAGGGGTTAGTGGGTGAAAAAGAAAGTGAAGGAGAGGAATAGATAAGATATAGAAATTCTGACAGAATGATAAAGTGTCTTTAATACAAATATAGACTGTAATAGGAGGAAAAGTGATTATGAAATAGAGAAGAAAATAGGTAAAACAAAGGAGAAATGCGTAATGATTAAGCGGGAGAGAAAGAACGTAAATGAATGACTGTTAGAGAGAGATGAAAATATAGAGTGTAAGAAAAAAGATCTGCACAAAGATACAGATGGAATAATTAATATTTCATTTATAGTCTCAATAAATCAGTGATTGAAGAAAAAAGCGAAAGAGATATATAGATAAATAAATAGAAAGAGAGAGAGTGAGTAAAACAAGGGAGGGTTGGAAAAAGAGAAAGTCAGAGAGTGAGAGAAAAAGAGAGTAGGAGAGAGAGTGAGAGTGATAGAGAATAAGATAGAGAGAGTTGTGAGAGAGCGAATAAGTGAGTGAGAGAATGAAAGGAGACGAGTGTGTGTGTGTGTGTGTGTGTGTGTGTGTGTGAGAGAGAGAGTGAGAGAGAAAGAAAATAAGATAGAGAAAGTTGTGAGAGGGCGAGTGTGTGTGTGAGAGAGAGAGGGAATGGATTAATGAAGGAATATCATTTTATTTAAAAAAATCTAGTAGATTTCGATCGACCTTTCTTATAATTAACGAGAGAGATAGATAGATAATATATAGATAGATAGATAGATAGAGATAGATAGGGAGAGAGAGAGAGAGAGAGAGAGAGAGAGAGAATGATTGAGAGTCAGAGAGGGGGAAGGAGGGAGAGAAAGAGAATGAACAAATGAATGAATGATTATAGTTTTTGGTCAAGCTATCTAGTAAAAATATGGAAAAGCAGATAAATTGAGAGGTAAAGTTAGTGGGATAAAATAAGATAAAATTTGTTAGATAGACTAACGAAGAGAGAAAGATTTGAGACATTGAAAGAGAGGGATGTTATAAAAGAGGAAGCTAATGTATGTTAAGGAGAAGATTAAAAATAGACAAAGGAAGAGAGATAAAATAAAGAGATAATGAAAAGGAAATAACTGATATATCTTAATATACAATAGAAAAAGAGTGGAAAGTAAAATAAGGAAATGTAACGTGACAGAGAAAGAGAGATAAGAATGTACAATGGAATGAACAAAATGCTCAGAAAGAAGGAGCAAAAAAGAATGATTATGTGAGAATGAATTTCAAACAGTGAGTGTGGGTGAGAGAGGAAGATAGAGAGTGAGAGAGAGATAACATAAATTGATAACATAAACAATCAATCAAGAAATATTATTATTAAAACATCTATTTCATAGAATGTTTTCTTTAGCTGTTGTTATTTTGTAGGATACGAACCGGAGTTTGCTGAGCCGTTGAATAATTTGACCATAGCTGTCGGACGTGAAGCAACGTTCAGCTGCGTTGTCGAACATCTTGGTGGATATAGGGTAAGTAAACAAAAAAATTCCTTTTTTATGTTTGCATTTTTTATTGCTTGCTATCATCGAATAAAAGAGGGCTGAATTTAATTTTTTCCAATAATCCTTCAAAACAAGAAATAAGCATTAAGGAAAATAGCTGAAAGGGGAGAATATGAGAAATGAAGGGCTGTCTTGGGGTGATGACAAGTGAGGAGACGGATGGCTAATCACGGCGAAACTCTGATGACTCGGCGACACAAATGTAGTTAAGTTCTCTCGGTGGATGAGTACGGCATTTCTAAGGATATTAGCAGTTACGCCCTCGCAAGCGTCTCCATCAGCCGAAGGCCCGACGAAGGCAAATCGCAAGACATTTCCTCCAGCGCCAGATAAAAATATCAATTTGTGACACCCGCGGGGACATTGTAGTCGTTTTGTCTCTCTCAACCTAACTCGAAGGCTCTTCCGCTTTTCATCGCTATTTTTCACCTCGCTATGTCATGTTTTAATATTTTTCACACGGACGAAGAGGACTTTATCGAAAATTGTCTTGGCTGAATGAAAAACGTCACCTATTTACTGATAAAAGTTACAAAATGTGGTGTCCTGAAGTCCTTCTTTCAAAGTCTACATGAAGAATGTGAAGGTTAATCGACTAATTTAAGAAAAAATCTTTTTCTTTCGTCCGTCCATATTCGCTGGTTGACTTTTCTCACTGACCATAGCGGGAAGCAGAAAAGTATGTTTCATTCACTTGCAGATAAGCAATCAACCCAATTTTCTCACTATTTTACTTAATTCAATCGCGATAACTGAACCTAAGCAAAATTTGCTAGGTATAATTCCCTCCTTTCTGTCACAATTTATTACACTAAATTACTAAAATTTTGGGCAGTATATTTTTTTAACAGTAGGCCTAATTTATTGTAGTTATTATTTATTGTTAGGGTTCTTAGATTGCTGAGCGTCTATGGCGTTCAACTTGTATTTTCCGAGCTATGGGTTCAGGTTCGAATCCCGGCATAGATGGTGAGTTTTAAATTGATAATGGCATTTAAAATGCATTGCAAAGTGGTTTAATCCTTCGTCCACAACGCCCAAAGGATGGGTGGTCGTTAAACTTTCCTGTACGACTTTATTGTAATTATTTTCATTACCAAAAGTTTAAAGATGATATGAGAAATAATGTTTAAAAATCCTAACAAACATGTATAAAATAACAAAAGTAAAAAATATGGAAACAGACATAATCTATTACAAAACAAGTATTATAAATTTATTTAGAAATCGTGAGATGCGGTCTGGTGTGATGTAGGTTTCAGAAAAACATTTTCTTTACCGTGCCAACGTTTCGATCTTTATTGAGATCATCTTCAGGGCTCAAAGTCTTATGTGTAATTGTGTCATTCTTGCGTGTCGTGTCGAGAGTGCCAGTCGTAGTATTATAAAGTATTACAAATTTGGGTAATACATGTGAAAGAGTGGCATTCCTTGGCTCCATATAAGAAGCGAGTAGGAATGCTTGCCTATATGAGAAGTGTTCTCGAGTATTGTGGTGAATCGTTGGGTCCCCTCTTCCGATTTCTGCGGGAAACTGGAGTATTTTTGTACATATACAGGGTGTCCTTTATAGATGGTCAGGCTGAATTTTTCTTGAACCAATGACGCTATAAAAAATACGCGTTTAATATCTCTTAGAATATTTTCAATTTTTTTCCTTTTTTATGAGAAAAATTATACACCGCACCTCAGGCTCAGTTCAACATCAAAATTTCAAATACGACGTAAATAAGTAATAATTTGTTTAAGAAGAGATGAAAGTGTGAGAGTGTATAAGTAAAAACTACATACGTTCTGAGCTGGAATGTTCTAGTTGAGGATAGCCGCTTGACCCTAACTTCGGCGGTGGTCCGGATAAGTCCAAGGTCTGACTCGGATCACCAAAACACGAAAGTGGGTCATTGCCCGGCTTGCGACAAGAAGTCATAGGGTATGGATTGAACTTAATTTCTTTTCGAAAGGGACAAGTTGGGATGGTTAGGGATGGTCTGAGTAAACAGTAAAACAACATAAACAAAGTGAAGAGGGAGGATAACATTGATTATTTGCTCCCCTCAATGTAAATAGTTGCATATAAGTTCATGTATCCGCAAATTACATGTAAATAATAATTACAGATTGTAATAAAATAAAAAATTGGGGAAGAACCTTGTCTTGATCCTTAGGAATTGGGATGTTTTTTTGCACTATAACTTATGAAAATATCATCCTTCTTTCGTGATCGGATGTGCGTCATGTTGTCCACCTTGTTATAAAGGAACGTCTGATAAGGTCATGGGCCAGGTGCGGTCGAAAGAAATTTTATACCGTCTTTAAAGCGATGCGATTGGGCGCGTCGGTGGACGCAATGGGTTAGGCATTGACACGGCGCTTATGACTGTAGGAGAAAGGTCCCGGGTTCGAAACCTGAATTCAAACCCAAATACTTACAAATGGGCTTTTTTTTCAAAAACACCGGCACCCCAAGGGTTGATAGAACATCTGCTGTTGCGAACCCTCCACTATGTATTTATATGTACATAAATGCATATATGAACAGAATTGACCTTATATAAATCAATAAGCAATAATAAATTTGAATGAGATATGAGAAACCTTCACACAAGAAACAAAAAACAAATTACTAAAAAATGATAAACACGAGAATTAATCGAATTTGGTTGACCAAGCTTAAAATATCTATTGTGCAAGAGTAACAACATTGAGACCATCACAGAAGGTAGTGCAATCTATTTAAAACATAGAAGTTTAAATAAGCAGATTTATCAAGCACTATCGAAATGCAGAGAATTTTTGAGGGTCAATTTGTGTATGACGCTTTTTAGAAGTGGTCATTAATCAAGAAATCAAGTTGCAAAAAAGTCTTTTCAACCTCGGTTTATAATGGGTTCACATAGTTAACGTATTAGGCCATTAATCATTACACAACTTTATTGAATATTCACGCGATGATTTCAATTATTTGTGGTATGTCGCACTAAAGTAATAGAACAATTGTTGACGTGATTTAAAAATTCTGTGAAAAATATATAGCTATTTAGGTTTTATTTAAACAGTATTTGTTCTAATGAAGAAAAAAGGAAGGTAGAAACTTTCCCAATACTACTTTGCCGAATCTGTTTACTTTTACCTACTTAAACACAACACGGACAATTACACCACGAACTCTGCCAAGCCTCCAAAGCCATTTGCCCGTTCTTTCTTCCTAATTTTCCTCCTTTGTGCTTTTCTTTTACCATTGATTAACACGAAGACGTCCGTCGAGGAAAACCAGTAGGAATTGTTGAAATTGAATTGGTTTTTTAACAGTTAACAGTAGACTGAATGAGAACGAAGCAATTCTAAAAAAATATTTAATCGGTTTTCATCATAATCACATTTAATCATGTACATAATACATAATTCTCAGCAATACTAAATTGACATAAAATTTTATAAATATATTATTTTTCCTTCGAACCATTATTTACGAATCAACTTATTTATTTAAACTGGAATATAATAAGAAAATTGCCTAACCATTGATCGTGTACAGGATTAATTAAAAGAAGGTAAAAGTTTTATCCTCTGGTGCCGTTTGTAATCTATTAATGTTTCAAGTGTATAAACCATTTACTGGGTTAACTCTATCAAGATGCCACGTGTTTAGGGCATTCAACTTGAATTTGCCACGCTAGCGGTTCTGGGTTCGAATCCCCGCACAGCCCTTGTGATTTTAATTAGTAGACCTTTGCTAACGCCCTTACGCCTGATGTCTTTTAACTTTATTTGTGTAAAAGTTTCAAATGAAACTTCAGAGCTCAAAAAACATAAATTTTATACATTAAGATAAATAATTAATTTTTTTACTATTTCAATTCGAATCACAATAGTTACTTGTTATAAAATGCACTTTCATATTCGATTTGGTGTTATATGACGATAACATTATCATTTAAATTCTCACGAAGGTGGAGCAATTGCGTTTTTTCTAACTGGTCTTATCCCTAATTTTTATTAAAATGGGATAACGTTCGACAAACTTTATGAAATAACTTGTAATTTTCTCATTTTCGGCGTTCTGGACAAGAAAAATCGATAAATTGTGTGGTCGATTCGATCTCAACAGACAGACAAGTGTCATTCTTTGGCTTTGGTGACTTCCTGAAGAAACCGAGAACATAAAAGTTCATTTATCCTATTGCTTAATGAGAGTGTGAATGGGTTTGGATCTAGGCATTGCATGCGTTGGGTGATGAATTTGCCTACGGACTGAAGGATAAGATCGGAGACTGGCCCGGGGCTGCCAGCACCCGAGATCAATTCTCATTGCCTGCCGGTAATTTATTTTAAATTACAAACGCTATAATTACCTGCTGCAATCATAATATTGACATATTGTTTGTAACGAGTTACCAGAAACATTTCTGCGCTTGACTGAGTTGCCTCCGCCACAGGGACCAACATTCGGAGTCCGATCCTTCACAAGCTAGCAAGGAACACACTTACCCGATGTAACGCTATGCGACTCTATCCGACGCTTCCTGATGCTACTCGACGCCTTGTCACGTTCACGATCCTAAACTCCCTCCCAGATCGTTAGATCAGCTTTTGTCCGTACCCTGCAGGTAAACATAACTGCATGGTGGGGGGGGGTCGTGACGGGTCCAAAGAGTTTCGTCGCATGTGGAATAAGGTGTCCTATACAAACTAAAACGTTTCCTTCTTTGTACCTAATCCTTCGGTCCTATCTAACAGAACGATTTTAAGCGGCGAAAACACTAATTACGGGGGGATGCAACGCTACGCGACCCTACCCGATGCTACCCGACGCCTTGTCACGTTTTGGTAGGGTGTGCATCTATGCGACGTCAAGCGCACGCCACGTACAGCGTGTGTCACAAATCAGTATCACAATCGCAACGCCTCTTTTGTTCTTAATGCATTATTTTGAGCAAAACCTTGTAATAAATTGTTAGTTAAATTTT